GTGCAGCAGATGCGTTTGTGACTGACTAAACAGCCCTTAAAAACATTTGAATGCAAACTTGATAAGATGCAAATAAAAAACTGTCTAAATTTCAGCTTCATCTCTTATCTTAGACAGTTGCTAGAGATCATGAGAGGGAAATATGCCTCTGCTTGCTCAGACAATGGCGAGGTACCTAGCTGTTTCAGGAGCTTTCACACCAGGGGAAAGTGGAGTCTAATTTAGGTGTAGTTCAACGGCTTGCAGGCGATGTAATGAGACGGTGTTGCCTCGTATTTTTTAGTGGGCAGTCTGCTAATTGGGGCTTATCGGGTGTTACTGGGAAAGCACCTTAGGCCTTTTGTGCTGTCTTCAGTCCCATGTTGATGAAGGGAAATCTGTCTCCTCATGGGATTATCTAGTAGCAAGAGTCCAATTTCAGCAGCAAACTTTCTTCTTCACCTTTTGCATGATTAAAAAAAACAAAATCTCTGCGCTAAGTGCAATTGTTTGCAGCTGTGATGTGTGGTGTTGAAGTGGGCGGAGCTGTTAGAAGTATGGCGTGCGTTCATGGGAATGTGCACCACAACACTATCTCAAGTAGTCTTTGAGTTTTATCTCAAATAAGAAATGTACTCTTCGGTTTTTTTTTTTTTTGAAGAGGATATCCTGTCTCTTTTTTTTATTGCATTTACTTCTGTGACTTGATTTACACATTTGTTCTCAGGATGTTTTCTTTTATCCATTCTTACAATATTTCTTTGGCCTTAAAGAGTAATTTGAAGCAGGATGTTAAGTTCTTAAACCCTGCTTCTTCTTAAGTTGTCTTACAACACATGACACCAGTGATATAAAGTTGGAATTGAATCTGCTTTATAATATAAACTTGCACTTCCTACCCCTGTGTACGTGGCAGGTTTGGATTGTGACAGCTCTACTGCGGTATTGCTTTACTGCTTTTAATGTTTCTGTTGCTATTCTTTGGAAACAAAATATTTGAAATCATTGAATGAAAATACAAATATTAGACAAAGATAAATAAGTGACATGTTTATTTATATATTTATAGTGTGAGTCAAACATTTATTTAGGGAAAAAGCTATTCAAACCAACGTGGCCCTGTTTGAAAACTGACCCAACCCCTCCCCTTGTGTATAATCATGAATAAACTGTGTTTAACCACAAAAGCTGAGTCCAGTTTCAACAGTCACACCCAGAACTGATAACAGTTTTACCTGCTGAATTAAGAAATCACTTGAATAAAACCTGTCTTGCAACATGAAGTAGGCTCTGAGATGTCAAAAAAAAAACCCAGAACATTGGAGAAAACTTTCCACAAGCAGCTGTTCTATCAAACTTATGTGGCCAATTAATCTTAAACTTCAGCATTTATGATTCAACAATAGGAAAGAAATTGGGAAAAAGTTGCATCCAAGAGAAAGAACCAAAGTAAAAACTGTGCTGAACAAAAGCAGCACATCTCTTATTTCTTCATTAACATCTTGCTGATCGCTGGCTCTTTCTGAAAGATAAACGATGAAACAAAAGCATGTTTAGAAGGTGTGCATTCCAGTAAATCTTGCTGAGAGCCAACACAGAATTTTCGCCATAAACAGAGCCATGAATATTGACCACATAAAAAAAAAGAAAATCTTGAAGGGGAATTTAGACCATCAGTTCAAGACCTTAAAGCCAAACACATTCAGGCCAGTTATGTGAAGCACATTCAGCTCCTAATGACTTGGAACAAAAAATGTGACTCTAAACATGAATCTGAGATTCCATGGCGTTATCTCAAACTGAACAGTGGGACAAAATTCCTTTGGATTTAAAAATATCCCCTCATCTCCAGTTTCTAATGGCATTCACTGCTGCCAAGCGTGGCATAGCAAACCATTAGGTTAAGACGTGCCTGTCAACATGAAGGAGGGACAACAGTTTAGTTGTCCTAGGCCCAGGATAGCTTCACAAAAAAACACTTGTGAAGAATTATATAGGCTTTTTTATTTCAGTTAAATAAAATCCTTTCTTGTTGTTTTCTTCAAATTGTCCCTCACGGGGTTGGGGAAGTACACTTCCACCCTACGTTCCCAAAAATGGTTGATAACTGGTAAACAACCAGCTGTCTGTGCAGACTGTAATCATCTTATTTGGTAAAGAGGTGCATCCACCACTGCACCTGCAAACTCAGGCTGGATATAAACAATATTCTACTTAACAGCTAAACCTAAACAGCTAAAAATGTTTTTTACTTTAACATTTAGAGCTCAAAAATGACAAAGTTTTAATGTGCTTGTAAAAAAAAAAATCCTAGTAATTATGAAATATGTTTTTCCCCCCAATGGCCATATGCCAAAGACATTATGAATCACTTTACAAATCAAAATAATTCTTCTTACAATAAAACCAGCTGACTTTCAGTATCAGGTTTAGCATTGGAAGCCAGAAAGTGTGTTTAAAATGTATATTTTTATGCACAACATTTAACAAATATTTAATAAAAAATTTTATTAGATTCCCCTTTACTACATTGCATGATCAGTAAATACTTTCAGTTATTCATAGAAAGATAAGATACATTTTTTCCTAGGTTGGTTTGGTTAGCTTTTGTCGGCCATTAAATGAAATCACTATTAGAAAACCATCTTTAGTATTACGTAGGATTCATTGTATATTATTCATTTCTGTTTGAAGATCTGAAACTGTGTGACCTACAGAGAGTTTCGAACATAAGCCTCTTTTGTAACCTGGGCTGCTCTACAACCCAGTTTTTTTTTGGTTGTTTTTTTTTTTTAAGCCATTTCAAGAAAAAAATTGTAAAACAGGATTTTTTTCAAAACCTTTGTGTCTGGGTTGAACATAGGGCACAACTTTGACAATGAGTTGTGTGAAGTGATGCTGGCGGTGGGGGGTGGTTTACGTTGCAGGAAGCTTGTACTGCGGCTGACCAATCACCGGAAGAAAGCCTCTGAATGACACGTTAGGTAGAAGGGCTTGGCCAAACACGAGTCAGCGCAGCAAGCAAACCAGTCTGTCAGGTTGCCCCACATGTAGCAAAATCCCTTAATGACAGACAACAAAGACTCCACGCTGACTAGGGGACATTAAGTTGTCCATACACAGCAAACGAAGATAGACGCTGTCCTGCAAAAACTGGACCAAGAAAAAAAACAAAGGAAAGTCTGTGGCCTTACTTAGTAGACAGAAATCTGTGGAGATGCAGCAGTTTTCCATGAATAAAATCATTATGCTCCAATAATGCAACCTAATGTAATAACCCTGCTGCAGCAGGCACATGTGCTTAAGCTCAAGTCTCCTATTTATGTCTATAAATGGAGCTGAAAAGGATGGGGAGAAGACAGACCTCCTGAGATGGCAGTTCGATAACAGAGTGCTCGGTGAATATATCCCTACTATGATCAAGTGTCAGCAGCTAAATGGATGTGCTGCTTCTTTATAAAGACCAAAGGCCAAGGCTAGCCACTCTGAAGGAGCCTATTGTTCTTTGCTCTTGCTTAAGGAAACAATGTTCTTGTTCTACTTGGCAGCCGACAGCAGCTGTATACTTAACCTTCCTGTAAACAGGAGGATATTTTGCCCTAGTGATCAGTTGGTCATGATTAACTTTGTGTGTGAAGTAATATTTCTCTGTTTCTGGAAAAAAGGTTTGGAGCAGGTTTTTCTGTCCCTGCATGTGCGTAAGTCACGGTGGTGTTGCCTTTGTGTCCAGATGCTGTTCCACATGCCTGATCTTCGTCTGCTTTTGTCTCGTTTTGTCTCTATCTGCCTTCCAAGGTTCTGATTCAAAGCCCAGTAAAACCGTCAGCCGGTCCAGGCGTAGTTTCCATCCATTTATTTAGAAAAAAAAAAAAAAACTGGTTTGCTGCCATCCAGGAGAGCAAATTCAGGCTGTGGAAGGAATCATCAGTCTTGAATTACTCTAGGAGCTGGTCTATAGAGGGATCGTGTTACTTTTGACAGGTTTTAGACACCAGCTTCACCTCTAATTAGATTTCCAGAGCTTAAACATACTGTGTGCTCAGTCCTAAAGCATCTCTCTCTCATATATTCTTTTATTTTCTGACATTTGGGAGGAGGCTGTTGCTACAAAAAAGTGATGGGAAACCATGACGGCGGTAGTGGAAGTTCTTTTTGCTTTTTCATGTCTTCAGATGCATTATTAAACTTAAAAGGTCAGAGATGTTTCCACCTTAGATTTTATTCATTTTTACAGGTGCTTCACTTGGGGAAAATTTTAATCTGTCATATTACTGCTGTGAGCGTCTTTTTCACCAGTAATATGCAAAAGAGAAAGTAATACTACGGCACACAATCAAGTCTTAACAAGTATTTATTTTTTTTTTTTTTGTGCAAGTTGGAGAAGCCCCCACTGCTTCCTAGCAGGGATCTGTTTGATTTGCTTCTGGCTTTTCGCCGCTGGCTGGAAGTGGGTGGTTGGGCAGGTCAGGGCGAGGAGGTCTGGCTGATCCACCAGCTATGCTAAAGTTTCAAGAGGTAGCTCACTGGAGTGGAATGGCTCACTCCGCACAACAATGCGGTGTGTTGACAGCCGGGTGCTCGGACAGGGTTAGAGGAATGTCCCCTTCAGACTGAGAGAGCAGCCCTTTGTCTCCATGCTCGGAGAGAATTCTTTCTTTCACCTGGAGAATGACGTCCGATTTCACAGGGTCACCATGAAAATGACAAAAGTAAACATTGTATTATTGCATTAGGAAAATCTAAATATGCTTTTCTGTGATAAGATTAAAAATGTGAGCAGGGCTTCAACTTGGATTGTTTGGCTGGAAATTGTAAATTCAAACTTCAGATTCTCATTGCGTGCTAACATCTGTTTGAAAACTCTGCGTTTTTTTCCACTGTTAGAAATCCTCTATATAAAGAGGCTTTGCCCTTCAGTTGCTAAAATAATCTGTTGACTCTGTCTCTGTTTATTTAAATGCTGATTTCCTTTTTGTAGAAACCAAACTAATCCGGGTCTTCTCTCTGTCTTTGCATTGCAGGTGACCCTTTTACAGATGTGGAGACATGACTGTTGGACTGTAGTTCCACCCCTCACCCCCCCCTACAGACACACTCCCTAAAGGTGTTTTCCTGTCCTTCCAACAGAGACAGCCATTAATGCCCTGGACACTTTGCACAACTTGACGTTTATATGGAGCTTTGCTGTAAAGCCACTGGGGTCGGCCACTCTGGCACCATGGAGTGCAAGTTTTCCCACTACTACAAAAAGGAGCTTATCATATGCCACTATGCCCAGGCTAAAAACAAGACCATTAATGATACATTTAATGACTATAAGGTAAAAGAGCAGTTCACTGTTACTAATATTGTCATCGTAATCCTCTGCACAATCATCATTGTCGAGAACCTCCTGGTCCTACTTGCTGTCCTCCGCAACAAGAAGTTCCACTCAGCCATGTTCTTCTTCATCGGCAACCTGGCGTTCTCCGACTTGCTGGCTGGTTCTGCCTACATAGCCAATGTATTACTCTCAGGATCAATGACCCTGGAACTCTTGCCGTTGCAATGGTTCATCAGAGAAGGAACGGCATTTATCGCTCTGGCTGCATCCGTCTTCAGCTTGTTGGCAATAGCTATAGAGCGCTTCATTGCCATCACCAAAGTCAAAGTGTATGGCTCAAACAAAACGTGCCGCATGTTCCTGCTGATAGGAGCATGTTGGGTCACTTCAATTCTGCTCGGAGGACTTCCCATCCTAGGCTGGAACTGCATCTGCAACCTCCCTGACTGCTCAGCTGTGCTGCCACTCTACTCTAAGCAGTACATACTTTTTGTTGTCTCCATTTTCACCCTCATACTGCTCTCTATCGTCATCCTCTATGTGAGGATCTATTTGATTGTTCGCTCCAGTCACCGGGAAGCAACGAACACCCAAGCATATTCCCTTTTGAAAACAGTTACAATAGTGCTTGGTGTCTTCATCGTGTGTTGGCTGCCAGCTTTTACCGTGCTGCTCCTGGATTCCTCGTGCAGCATGCAGGGCTGCCCTGTGCTCGATCACGCGAAGGTGTTTTTTGCTTTTGCCACTGTGAACTCTGCTCTTAACCCCATGATATACGTGCTGCGCAGCAAGGACATGAGGAGGGAGTTTCTGCGCGTGCTGTGCTGCTGGGGTGTGCTGCCGAGCGGCCGGCCTTCTGAGCGCTGCCTGGTCAATTTGAAGAGCTCCAGTTCTTTGGAACATTGCACCAACAAATTCGAACACCAGACCACGCCCATCATGCAAACGTGTACCACCTGTGTCTGACTTGCTGCAAACACATTAGATGGCTTATTTTTGTGTGCACAAGAGGGAAAAAACATCATGATGAGGTGGACAGATGTTACTTACTGGGAATAGACCTCTGCGCGGTTGGGATACAGCTCACTGTTTGGACACATTTACTCAGTGCAGATTGTTTTTCACATAAAACACAGTGACTCTACAATCAGCTTTTAAGAGTTGCACTCTTCCTGAAAATGTTGTGAAAAGATTATAAGACAGAATCAATTGATAAAAAAAGATAAATGTGAAAAAGGCTTTTTAGCTAGGTACTTTTATCAGTAAAATGTGGAGCATACCATTTTCATTTATGTGCTTCTTTTTAAACATGTAACCCCATATTAAAAAGTAAAAGTAGGGACAGAACATGCATTATATCCTTATAGGGTAAAGCTGTATCAATGCATAGCTTGCAGAGTTGCACTTTGTCCATTAGAATGCAGATGGTCCTGTCTAAATTTTGACTGCATGGCTCCTCGTTGTAGAGGCAGGAAAAGATTCTTCACACATTTTTATTAAAACAAGAGAAAGCAGTTGGCAACAATTAGCACTCCAAACCTCTACCACACCGATTGTTCCTTCACCAAACAAGGAATATATATTTCCTATATAACCTTGCTTAACCAATTTGAATAACCACAACAAAAGTACATATTCTGCTTTATTTAGTGCATGAGATAAAGTGTAATGCATTTGTAAGAGCTAATGTTTTTATTATATATTCCAACTTCCATCACTAGTAACCCTTCTTCCATGTCCCGTCTTTAACTGTTCCTCTCCTGCTATTACTGTTGTTTTCTAAATCCTAATTGTTTCCAGTGAGGAAGGCCAATCCAGAGAGCACATTAGGCTTTTTGGCGCTGATAAATTTTTCCCGTTAACAGCTTCGTCGACTATAATTAATGAAATGGGTGCCCAGACAGTGTTGTAGCCATGTAGCAGCCATGTGCCAATTTCTGTTTGTGCCTTCCTCTGAGAGAAAAAGGCTGAATGTATGAATGAAGTGTTGGGGGCATAGGCTCCAATATAGACAGTATTATTGATCAGGATTTTGACATGCCAAGTCACTGATGAGCAGAGAGTGGGACGAACAGGGTAGGTCACCCTCACTGTGAACTCTTCTTCCGCCAAGAACAAGAAATGAATTGTGAACACGCTGGTTTATCTTGCTAGCCATATGCTTGTCCGACTTACAGTGTAAACACCTCTCATCTTTCTGAAAAGACCCCACCCAGCTCCTCGCCGTCTCTGCATGATGGGAAAAGATCCGGTTTCAAACGCACAGGAGGGTCTTGCCCTCCTGGAAGAAATGTTTCTTCATTCTCGGACATTAAACTTGCAACTTCCTCCAGCCATAGGAAGTCCTGTTTTCAACTGTCTATTTCCTGTTGTTCAGGGTTACACTAACCTTCCTGGAGACAGACCATGACAACTCTTCCTTTCCGTTAGAGTTAATATAATTTCTTTTTTTTATAAGAGTCACAGTTTCATTTAGACAGCCAAGTAGAAATGGTGAAAAGCACTTTGGCAGCTTCCGTGATGTTCAAATATTCCCTATTTTTCCCCTTTTGGGTTGAACAGTGTTTTAATCTGTGTATGAATTAAGTGTATGTCCATGGTTTTGTATGACATGTTATGAATAGCTATGTATGTTTGTAATTATATATCTCTGTACAGTATGTATGACTTTGTGTGGTATGAAATGTCTTGTGTGCAATAGCTTTGTGTGTTTTCTAGCACGCTGCCTGTGTTAAATTGGTACAATCCCAAACACTAATGGAGGTACATAAACCTTTTGTTAAATGCATTCCAGTTTTTTTGTTTTTGTAATAAATGAAATACTGAAACCAAATCTATGTCCTTGAGATTAATTTCAAGGCTGATGAAGAAATTCAGATGAAGCCTCGCTGCAGGCCCAGAGTTGTTTGGTTGCTGTGCCTTGATCTGCAAAGTATTTAAAATGCAGCATTAAATCCAAACATGCTCTGACAAGGTTAGAGGAGCACTACCTTCAACATGAAAGCCTGAAAAGCTGCGTGCAGATGCTGCGTGGGCATTAATCATGGCTCTCTTACCTAATAAAATTATTCAGTTGCTTAAAGGCTAAAGCAAGACCGGGCAATGATGGGAAGATGGGCAGGGATGATGAAGTGGGGTGGAGTGTGGTGAAGAAAACTGTCTGGAAGATAGGTTGTCCACATGAAGCACAACATAAAGCCCCTGGAGGTTTTTTATTTCTTCTTATTTTTGAGGGGGCGGAGGAGTCTTAGGGTGAAGGGAGAGACTGACTTATAATGGCCTTGGGAGAGCTGGGCCTGTTTCCCGTCAGACATCCAGAATTCCTGGGTGGGAACTCAGCCTGAATCAATCCCGGGAGGCTGTTCTGTTGGGCAGCCTGCCAAGTCTTTCCAGCTTCTTTATAGATATAGAAACCAGATTTAGATACTTGTAGCTGAGGTTTTAGCAGAGTAAAGACCTCTGTGAATTATTCCTGTATTTATACGTATTTGTAATTATTTAGGAAATTATCTTCAGAACAAATTATCACAAATAAGCTAATTATGTATCTGTCCAGCACTAATAAAACGCCCTCCAGATCCAACTAAATCAGATCAGAATGTGATAAACATCTGTGTCCATATGTTAAATATTCCAATCACTCATTAGACACCTGAAAGCAAACACAAAACAACAGAATGACGCCCCAGAATAAGTGACTCAACAGTGCCATCTTGTGGCAGGAGAAGCAAATTGATATTTATGAAAGTTGTAAAGAGACTGTCTAGATTGTTATTAAGAAGTTGATTATTTCCTTAATTCAAATCAATACGTGAAATATAGAATATTTACATGTTAATGATATCAATCCTTTTTTATTATTCACACACAAAAAAGAAATCCATGAACAGAAAATTATCCACAAACAAGAAAATGCTAAACATTTAGATAAGGATTTCATAAGACCAATATAAGTAAAATAAAAGTATTGTGAATTCCAGTCTAAACTGTATTATAATGTAATGTAATGTAATGTAAAAGACCAGACTATCATTGTATTTTACGTACAGTAAGTTGGAGCTTGTTGAAATCTGTTCCCTTTTATAGGAATTAAGCCAGGATGTGGCTGCGATTAGAGGTTTTAATCACATTTAAGTTAATGTTAAATATGATTTTTTTTTTTTTATCAGCCCTTGGTTAACCCTGAGTAAAATTTAGGTTTTATATAAAGCATTTTCGGCACAACAGGAAAATTTTGGGGAGTTTTTACAAAGACAGGTGACTTAATACTGAGAGAGTTTCCGCAAATTGTTTCTCTAAATATACGAATTGTGATGTTTTTTTCACATAGATGTTAGTTTAAGTAGTTCAGTGCTTTAAGTAGTTCAGAAATAACAGTTTAAAGAAAAAATAAACAGCTAACAGTAACAGAAAAAACAGTTAGAATTGATGGCCTTAAAAATACCATGAGAATTATATATGAATTTCTGGTTTCTGATGGAATCCTAGCCGATTGTAAATGCCGCATAAAACTGGCAGTTAGCTACGGAATATACCTCTAAATCCCTTCCAGAGGTGGGTAGAGTAGCCAAAACTCTTCTCAAAAAAAGAGTAAACCTGATTCATCATATTTATATTTGAGTATCAGTGAAAAGTACCCATCCAAGAAAGAAAGTTAAAGAAATATTTGGGACAAAGGATACTCAAGTACTGAGTAACTCATCATAACTTCTGATATTTATAATGATTATGAAATAAAAGCAAACCTTTTTAAAAACTCTTGAGTTCAAAAGAGCATAATATAATAGTTTCAAGCCAAACAAATAATATGTCTGAAAAATACATTCAATTCCAATTTAAATAATTGAAAATTATTGTGTTTTTTCTTTTATTCCTGGCAGAAGAAATATTTCACAAACCATTTGATTTTATATATAAAACTTATGAAACCAGTACCTCCTGTGACACAATTCACCCCTTACTCTATATCACTTTGACCTCAAAAAACATATGTAGACATTAAACTCTTTCTGGGGGCCTTTATCTGGAAAACAAAACAAAAACCAGAAAAACAAGCTGGTTCATTATCCAGTAAAGTTACTCACTATGGATGGGATATCGAACACTATATTTAAACTATTACTCAAGTAAACGTATGGTGCAGTAAAATAACTCCTAAAAGTATATTGTTTTCAAAAATGTACTCAAGTAACTGTAACTGAGTAAATATAACTAGTTAGTGCCCACCTCTGACCTGCTTTCTACATAAGCAGAGTATCTGTGAGCTTGTTGAGAATAATTTGGGTACCTGAAAGCTAAACTACAGCAAGTGGAGAGTCTCATGTTTAAAATTTCTACATGTTCTTCAAAGGTGGAATTAATTATGTTTATGAGGATTATTGTAGTTCTACCTCTCTGTTAGTCAGTAAGACAGAAGAGTGACGTCCAGTAGTAAAATTCCCTCTCCGATGTTCTGTTTTAAAACCTGAATAATCTGGAAATCATCAAGTGAAATCTGGACTTTTTTATGGGTTTTATGTAAATTGGAAAAACTTGAATGGAAATTTTACATCTATTTTTATGCTTCATAAAGAAAAGAATAAAACATATAGAAAAGAATAAAACATGTAAAAAAAAAAAAAAAAAAAAATGAGCAGACAAGCTCACAAAGGGATACAAACAACATTTTCACCTTAGAAAACATTTCCAGGATATGACCTGAAACTGTAAGCCTCCTTTACACTGTATGCAAAAATAAAGCAATGTAGAGAAGTAAGTGGAGAGGAAATGTTTAAACAATTGCAACATCAGACCGTGAAAGTAAGAATTTTTTTCAAAAACCTTTTAACCGAGACAATAAATAAATAAATAAATAAATAAATAAATAAATAAATAAATAAATAAATAAATAAATAAATAAATAAATAAATAAAATAGCTGGGGTTTGCAATAATCTAAATTCGGATATTAAACAGAGAGGTTTAACAGCAAGGTCCGTATTATTTATCTACAAAGTAAAAGAAACAAGCCTATTCAACATTTTTAACCCTTTTAGTAAACAACATTAGTTCAGCTTTGCTCTCTTTGGCGGTCATCTTCTTCTTCTTTTATTTAATGGCGGATCACAAGTCACTTTCAGGTGCATACCGCCACCTACTGTACATGAGTTTGCAGTAACCTATACTCACATCCTCTACATTCTATTTTATTTTAATGTTGTATTATGAAGAAAATAATTCATTATTTTACTGAATAAATGTCATTTATGCTTCCTTTCTTTTCCCAGTAATCCTTTAAGACTCTATTCCTGTTTTGCCTTTCTACTATTGTCCTTAATCTCATCCTTTATGACTCATATATTTTAACTTTATCTATACATGTTCTAATTTTTTTTTCCTTCCACATCCCTCACATTTATCCGTATTTTTCTAACCAGTTATATAAAAAATGTCATTAAGATAGGTATGACATACTCTATTATTATTCCATTCAATTGTTCTCATTAATATTTTAACTAATATTGATTTTTGAACGTTATATGCATAAGAACCTTCCTTTTTCATCTTCATCCCACCTTTTTTTCCCCATATGTTCCGTTATCTGATTGGTATATTCTTCTATATTACCTTCTAATGTAAGAAACTGACTGGTTTTCTCACAATTTATTTAAAATGTAAGCGGTTAGCTTTGTTAAAACACCATCTTGTTAATAGATAGTTCATGTCATATGTAATAATTCATTAGTCTACTCAATGGAAAATGATAGCTCCCTAAAGTAGAATCTTTCCTGACATCCCATTCACATGTACTTGGAGCATGATCGGGTATTAATGTAATGTCTAGACATGAAGCTGTACCTTTATGTAAGTTGACTCTCGTACCTCTGACCATTATTGATGCAAGCTAAAGATCTTTCATCCATTGTATCTTTTACTATACTTCCATTTTGATTAGTGATCTTGCTACTCCTATTCCCCTATTATGGGTGTTGAAATCACCACACCATTTCAATCCCCTTTAAACATTTCTATATCTATATTTTTACATGGATTATAATAATTTATTATCTTAATATTTCTGTATTTCCTTTATATTTCTATGTTTATTAATTTTCAAGTTCTTTGGGTGTTGGGTTTTTCTTGTAAACCAGTCCTTCTTTAATAAAAGTGGCACATCCTCCTCCACAGCTATAAATGCTGTCCTAACTTTCTGTACTATAACTTAAAGGTTTAACCATGTCAATTGGACATATATATCTGGAACTATTTCTAAATCATAAAAACATTTTTAGAATTCCTGTCCATTGACTATTAAACATCTGGTATTCGTTTGAAGAGGAGCATTGTAAATTCTATTCTTGAAAATATTCTGGGTTTTTTTCAGTGGCATTCAAGATGAAATGAATTTGATCAGTTTGCTTTTCTTTAATATCCAAAAATATTCATGCGGCTGCTACAGTTGCCTTTATATTGTCACTTTTCTTCTTCATTTGCATTGTAACATTTATAAAAAAAATGCCACATAAATGTAACAAAGTTTTCTTTTTTTCTCCATCATTGTAATTTCCACTGATCTACATTCATGTGGACATTGATTATTTTAGTTTGTTGACTATAGGATTTGCCTCTGGATGTTCTGACCTATGTTTGTTGTTCCGAGTTATTTGATTGGATTCTTCTTGCTTTGTTTCTTACCCTTTTTAGAGCTTCAGCAAATATTATCTTTTCTATAATTTTGATTCTTCTTATTTTTTTTTAATTCTCTTTACAATACAACCACTATATGCTGCATTATGTTCTCCTTCACAGCTACATTCAATTTTTGCATCTTTATCCCATTTACCAAATTCATGTGGACCTCCAAATCTAGGACACCTTACTTTTTTCTTTACATTCATTTGCAATGAGCCCTATTTTTGTAGGCATGCAAAGCATGTGATGGGTTTAGAAAATATTACTGGGTTCTCAACTATTTACTACATACCATTACTACCATTACGACCATTTCAAATCATCCCGCCTTCTTTTACACGTTTACACGCTTCCTCCACGCCGCCACACCTACTGATCCTCCTTTGATGGACTTCAACAAGTGTGAAACAATATGGGGGGTGACGATACTTTTCGTTAATTCATAAACATGGAAGGCTGGGCAATTTAGCCATATGATAATCTTTGTTCTATATATATGTTCCATATATGATAAATGAAATTTCCCTGTGTTCTAAAAACATGGATATTGTGTATCATATATAGACGCTATTTCATCCATAGGTCGCTGTAGTGGTATCGTCTGAAACGCCTGGGTTTCCGTTACCGATGTGTCGACCGTTACCGAGCCTGCTTGCTTTACCAGCTCATTTGTGTGAACAATCGACACCTGCTACCATCCAAGTTACCTTTCTAATATTTAGGTTTGTTTATTTTGTCTTTAAGATAAAAATATAAAATAAATAAAGATTTTAACTTAACTTTAGAGAGATCCAAGAAAAATAAACAGACGAGAGCTACTTCTGCAATTAATTTGGTAATTACTGAAACAGTGAAATGGTGCTTGCGTGACTGAAGGTGAACTAGTTTGTCCCATAACAACCTTGCACATCCATCCCGTATCCTTCCAATACATCCTGGAGTTTGATCCTGTCTTTTCATACCATTCTGCAGTACAAAGACATGCAGAATATGCTTGGGTCATTGCTAAAAATAATCTCCAAAATATTTACAGAATGGTGTGTATATATATATATATATATA